AACTTATCATAGCATTTGTTTACTTATTTGGGTACTCAAACCAGCCATCAAATAAGTGAAGGTTAAACCTTCCATCGTTTTGTTGTGAAGCATCTCCTGGACGCAGCTAAAGTGTTTTAGGCTGTGGAAATGACCACAGGGAAAAACAGTGCTGCTTTGCATCACTGACACTGTGTCATTCATTTCTTTCTTTATTTATTTATTTGTTTATGACAACATAGAATATTTTCTTGTTGGAATTGTTAAAATGGGACAAAATATTCTTGGGTGGCTATTAATATACTTTGCATACAAAATATACCATAACCTGTACATTGTTAAACATGTGTAATTTCTAGGCACTTCAAACAGGTAAGCACTTCAGAGCCACTGAAAAAGTTGGCTGGAGTTGGAGTTAGTCATCCTGGATGGAAAAAGCATATATAACCTAAGTCTGAGTTAGTCATCCTGGATGGACAAATGAACAATGACCTGCTCGAGTGTCTCAGATTAAGACTGCTGACATGAGTTCTGTCACGTCCACATCATTACGCTTATAGGGATGTGGTAGGCAAAAATTGACCCTCAATCAGCATTCTCAGGGTAGTTTCTAAACACGCCGCCCATCTGAAAACTCATTTTAACATGAATGCCATTTTAAGGTCCGTTACATTACTTTACTACCTCGAGTGAAATGTGTTAGATGGCCCCTTAGAGGGTCAAGGGATCAAGTGAACATAAGAGCTCAGAAATCATTACAGTCTGGTGCAATGGTGGACATAAGGAGGTTCAGATGTAATAACCCACACAGAAATCTGATATATGGCCATATAAGCACATATATATTAAAGGGTCTGGCATGCATTTTAAAATATATGTACATATATATTATATACATAACTATAAGTATTATATATTGGACATATGCATAACATATGAATTGTATATATGTCTGATACATGGATCATATGTCTGATACAAACACCAAAGATTTTTTTAAGTGAAAAATCAAAATGAAATACACTAGCGACACACATGCAGTAAAAATCTTAAATAACATGCAGCTAGCATATGTGAGTAACATATGCCACCAGGAATAATGTTTTCTATCATACACTGGTAAATATGTTACACATATATGTTTTATATGTTGATATATGACTGGAATGTATGTTCCATATATAAAAATGGCCAGTTTCAAATAATATCACTCATATGTCCGTATGTGACTAAAGTAAGTTGGATGCACAGGAAATCCATATGTGCTAATATATGTCATATATTTGAAATCCATATATTGCCATATATCAGATTTCCATATGGAAATATATAATATTTTAAAACTATAACTTAAATTTGCTGTGTTCAAACAAAGGTCTTTATAGGAAAGCCTGTCCACTCAACAGCCTTCTTCGTGACACCCCATTATTATTTCCAGTCATAGAAGACCAGGCTACTGTCTCTGTGTGAGTTCCAAACTACTGTCCTGCTGAAAAAACCCACAGAAACCATTAAGTGTTTCTGTTGGTTACTGGTTTTGCAATGTGTTTTGGCTTTTTTAATGGGTTGATATCGCAGTGTGAAGGATCCTATTGGTTTAACAGGTGATCAATGACTGATTCTAAATGCATTTGATTGTTTCCTGTTGGGATCTAAATGTGAGGTGTCCTTTTAGCCAATTCCCTTTATAAAGCAAAACCATTAGTTTTTAATTCTAATGGTTTCTAATGGCCCTTTTTCAGTAGGGTGGTAAATGTGACAAAAACAGCCTAAATTGTTTTTAATGTTTGGCTAAAAATGTGTTTTTTTTCAAAGTGTCTCCACAACAATGAGGAGCTTTTCGCACTTGCAGCTTAACCAGAAGTCCATTTGCTCTTTTTATTGAGCGGCAGTACTTTTGCTAAACAGACGCCATGTTGAGCATTACAAGCTTTACCATTCATCTTCTACCCATTAACCAGTCTCCTCCCTTATTATGACTTCGGTTCAAACTGGAAATTATGGTGAAACTACTCCTTCTGTTGTGTATGACTGCTGATGAAACTTCAGTAATTTACCCTGCTAGCTTGCTAGTTAGCAAGCTAAAGGATACACAGCTACCAACAAAACTAGGGGCAATACACACCATGGCTGTAAACTAAAGCTAACAGCCAGACAAAGCAATTATTATAAATGTTATGTATGTTGTGTTCAGACGTAGAGCCCTTTATAAAATGTTTGCACTACTGGGTGGCTAATTAGCTCACTAAGGCTAACCCAGCTAAAGGCAAGGTGTTCCACTCCTCACTGTCCCCTCTTTCCTTAGTGCTGTGAGCCAGAGTTGGTGAGAGCATGTTAAAAAGAAGTATTAAAATGGAACCATGTATATGTTCCTATATGTTACATATTACAATAATATGTGTGTGAATATTCTGGAAGTACTTGACCTGAGCTTCACAACAACACCACCATACCTCACTGTGTACACATTCCACAACATTTTGTGAAGCAGGATATCTCAATTCCAGTAATGGAGGCTCAGCTGGCACTACAGAGCTGGGTACACTACACTCCAGAATCACTGATGCCTCACTGAAAACTGGACGTCAGTGTGGCATTGGGTTTTTCCGTCTTGTTCACCAAGGGTGCCAATAATTCCAGAAGGTGCTGGATCACTAATATTGTTGTCACATGCATGGGTGACACAAACACCTTGGGTCCTGTGCAAATGTTGGCCTTTTCCCCAAATTTGAAACTGAATACCAAAGCAAATGTCCAGGCTCCTTGGTTTACCTCTCTACCAAATGGTTCTGGGTTGTTGTCAGTTCCACTGTAACCCCAGCTTTGATGCCTCTGGGAACAGATAACATACTTCTGCCAGTGTTTCCCACCTCCAGTACTGTAGTCCATCCGCTCTGCGCAGTTCTGTGCTTTCCTGCACCTGAGTCACATCATTAGCTTATTTTTTCCCAGCCCAGCCCTTGGGATCTCCCAGACAGTCCAGACCTTTTTTTCTATCACAGCTCTTCACCTAGGCATTCAGTGTTTGTGACGGTTTGATTAAGGGTTGTTGGGAGGCATAGGGGAAAGCAAAAAAGCAGACTCTCTGGGGGTTTTGGGCACTAAATCACTTCTTGGCCAATGGTTAAAGGGGAATTCCACCAATAGTTTAGAATATCTATATAATTCAATCACTGAGGTGTAAACAAAGTCATTCAAAGTGATTTAATGTGAAATGCAGCATTGTAGAGAAACCTAAAGACTCAGACTTCTCTACAATAGTGGTAATAGGAAACAGGGGTTACATTGTCTGCAACACGAATATAGTTTTTTTAATTACTGTCCAAAATGACCAGTGATTGTTGCCTTACAATGTATACCTTTTTTCCATGAATAGATCATAAAAATATATTTTAGTTCAAAACCTGATCTCAGAATGTTCGTAAAACAATGTTTCAGGCAGCAGGCAATGCATTCATAACCATTTCATGTAATAATTTATTATTATTAGCTTGGAGGCACTGACCTCTTCAGATACCTGGCTCCCATCATCACTGCTGTGAAAATTCTGACACTGCATGTTTCTCTAGAATGATGCATTTGACATCAAACCACTCTGAATGACTGTGTTTTCATATTGACCATTAATTTAAAAAAACTGTAATTCACCTTAAAATGTGATTTTGAATTGCTCCATCTGCTCTGTTAAAATAAGGAAACACAAATTGTGTGTTATGGTAGTTGAAGTCTATGGACCTTTCAAGTCATGTCGTCATTCTGTAGTCGGCGGTACACCATTATTAGGAACTCTGGGTCTAAGCTGGTTTCTCTATAACAAAAATGAATGGGTTTTTCTAAATGCACTGCTGTTGCGTTCTGTGGTAAACAGAAATGCTCCATGGCTGACACGTTTTGTCTTGCGTGTATTTGGTGAACATCATTGGGTCCTCAAATTATGAGGATATTAAGGAGTCAAAATACGAACATTGCTACATCTGTGCTACAAGCAAGCTAACACTCCTGCACACTGAAATGACCGCATGAAAAGAAGTCTACCATCAAACTTCAACATTATTAACACCAGGATGTCAGTTCAGTGCACAGCAGTGTTAGCTTGCACGTAGAAACCTTAGCTCCTTATTAAGTTCAGAATTCAGAGGATCTGGAAACATTCAGAGAAAAAAATGTCTACATTAAAGCATATGAGCTTTAGAACATTTTTGTTTACCAAAGGCTGCAGTAGCAGCAATTTTTGAAAATCTTATTAACGTCTGTCACCAGCTTAGACCTAGAGCTCCTGTTATAGAATACTATGGAATGACAAACGACTCCTGAGGTCTCTTAGTAATTGATATACCGTTTTTGTCTAACAAGGACACATAGTGTCATTAATGCAAAGCACAGCACCTTTGAAACAATTAAAGCTTTTTGACTGCTAATAGCACCCCCTAGTGGGGGGATTTTAGTTTGTTAAACATGAGTGAGTGAGTTAGGCTCAGTTTTATACCTTGTAACTGGCACTTCTGACCCCAGGCACTGGCCACGTGTGATGTGCGCCTCCCAATTTTTGTAACTTGACGCACATTGTGTGCAGGCCACTTCATTCAAAATGGATTTGCTGAGCAGGTACACCTGTACAGGCACTGATACCTTTATGATACCTTTATTATATCATATCATGGAGAATACTGCATTGACAGAAGTGCTAGCTATAAACGCTGACGTGTTTGATTCAAGTTATCATGCTGTCTGAACGACACTCTGCTGCGAAAGTATAATCAAGCCAGTTTCATTCGCATCTGAAAAGCTGAGTTTCCAATAATTCAGTCCAGTTTCATGATTTTCCTGCACCTGAGTCAGATTATTAGCTAATGGTCGAGTCCTTGTTCTCAAACAGGCGCGTTAGAGGAGAAAAACTGTGGAGTGTATGAGGAGCTGGGGGACACTGCAGTGAAGTAAATAATACGCTACCAATCCGTTCTCCTCCCTTAAACTGGGGGGGGGTTGAAGTGGTGGGGGGGCGTTGACGTGATGGGGAGTCAGAAACGAAGTGGGAGGGGCTTATAAGAAGCAGGGGCGGGGCTAGGAGAGCGTGCGAGAGAGATAGTGTGCATGAGAGAGGGAGAGAGAGAGAGAGAGAGAGTGCGCTCGCCCCCCTCCCTCCTTCTCGTGCTCTCTCGCGCGCACGGCAGCCCGCGCGCACGCTGCGTCTGAGCGAGGGGGGCTCTCTCATCACATCGCATCGAAAAGCCCAACTTTGATTTCCACCTCCACGAAATTACGAATTATTTCTCCGCCACCTACCCCCCTTTTCGCCTTTCTTTCTTTTTTTCTTTCCTCCTCCTCCTCTTCTTCTTCTTCTTCTTCCTCCTCCTCCTCTCGAACCCCCCCCCTCCCCTCCCGCTTCATCCACCGCACTCGTCCTCACGCGATGCCTTCATCTCCCCTTTCTCCCCGCGCCGAGGAGCCTGAGCCCCAGCAGGCTGCAGCAGCCGCCGCGGCGCTGCTGTAGGACTCCAGCCGCCTCCCCCTTCGCACTCATCGCCGCAGCACCGCTGCCCGCAGCCCCCGCTGGCCGAGGAGCACATGGCGACGGAGAGCAGGTGATCGAGGTCGCACGTCGAGTCCTTTTTCTCTTCGTTTCTCCTGAGGCAGAATCCAGGAATTGCCCCCCGTTTATTACCCCCCCTCCTTCTCCTTCTTCTTCTTCTTCTCCTCCACCACCTCCAGCAACGCTGCGTCGATGTCCTTGGAGCATGGCCTGGTGAGTGAGTCTGCCATTGAGATGCACAGCAGTAAAAAAACTGAACGTGCTGCATTCATTACCTTTTTTTATTATCTTAAGTCGTCTGTTTATAGGCTCCGCTGTCCGTGACAGGGACGGTTTCAGCAATAGCTCTTCCTCTGTAGTGTAAAACGTGTCCTGGGATTACAGATCAGGGCTCCCTGAAAAAAAAAACTACTGCATTGAAGCCCGGCACGCAAAAGCATATCGCTCACTGTCAAAACGTGATGCATCATACATAAGCGGGCACGGTGTTTTTCAAGCCCAGGACTGGAGCTGTGAGACCGTTTTGCCCGGCATATTTTAACCGGAGGCTCACTGCTCCTGACCAGCGCTCACCATCATTAACATTACAGCGAATTGGCTCGACGATCGAACGGGCTCGCGCGCATCGTTCCCCGCACGAGCGGAGCACATCACCTCAGTCCGGTCAGCTCCCTCAGACGACTCACTGTAGCTGCTGTGGATGTCGTCTGCTCTGCTCATGTGCTCGTTTGAGCTGCTTTAAATCCAGCCGCTCTCTCCACTGCAGTGCTGCTGCCTGGCTGAGCGGCTGGAGGCGAAGGTGCTTGTGTTTCTAAAGCATGACTGTGCGTTAGCAGCCTGGAGCCCATGTGTGTGTGTGAAGCACTGGACGGCCCTTTTTTCTGCAGAGCAGCATCCCGGTAACCTTGCAGATGGTGGTGGTGGGGGGCGTGGAGTGAGGGGAAGGGGGGCACTTTCTCTTTCAAAGCCCATCGCCATCACTCTCATTCACTAGCTAAATGTATTTATTTTAACTATTTATATTTACCCGTTTTTAAAGCGTCTCACGACCAGTTCTGCGCCACTGCCCGCGGTGTCCACCGGTTTTTTTTTTTTGGTGTGCAGAGCAGAGCGATCGCCCTCTGAAGGTGACCAGCAAAGGTCGTTCCGGTTTTTTTTCTTTTTTTTTTATTGTCGAAAAAAGCGTTGAGACAAAAGCCTGACGTTGGATGAGTGACGACAGAGGGCTGCGTAAAAACTCCACTGTCCGGAGTGCGCGAGCTGCTCTGGTTTCATTTATGAGGAGGGCTTTTTTTGGTGCTTTTTTTTTAGCCCCCCTCCATCACTGCAAGGTGTGTGTGTGTGTGTGTGTGTATGCGGTGGGTGTGGGACAGAGGACGGTGGGGTGGGAGGAAGAGCGGGTGGGAAGGGGAGGGTGGTGCGGTGGGGGGTGTTGTGGTTGAGCCAGTGCCCAGGCTCATGACCGTGTATTGAGCCCATAAGTCGATGCTCTTCTCTGATTGGTCATTTGGTAGGACTCGTCAATGCAGGACCCCCGCTGCTATTGGTTTGCTTCATTTTAGAGGTGTTGAGGGGGTCGACGGGGCTGATGTGGGACCACACGTTTCAGGCGTTCGTCTTTAAAACCTGTGACTGAATTTGACATGCAGCATGTTCAGCAGCACGTGATGGGCTTCCCTTAAGAGAAATCGGGCAGCTCATTAGGGCTCATGAAGGGGTTGCTCACTTGAGATATGGTCGTATGGTTTGGGCAGGCGCGTCCATGTGTGGTGTAGTGTTTCAGATAGTTTCACTAAAGATCTTGCCTGATGGGTCGTGGCGTTAGCCGTAGCCTGCGCTTCTGATTTCGCACGGGTATGATTTCATGGCCTGGGTTATAGCTGCATCACTCATACGAGTCATCTGTGAGACCGGCGTCAGCATTTCAGTACACTGAAGCATTACGTGTACCCAAACTCCACAAAAAAGTGCATAGGGAAAGTGTGGGTGCCCCAGTTCTGTGTCCAGGTTGCCCTAGTTTGAATACTTTGGATACAGAGATGGTTAAAAGGGACCAAGGTGGTGTCTGAACAAAGCTGTTTCTGAAGTTTGCAAACTTTGGGATGGAATTCTGCACCAAAGGAGGCTTTAACAGACTTACAATGGTGCTCTGTCCACAACATTTCACATTTTGGCCTCTAAAAGTGCTGTTTGGTTGGACATGGAACTAACTGCATCAAATCAGACTTCACAGGAACTTGTTAACTGTAGCCAAATGTGATAAGTGTGGTGACCGTGGTGGTCCTCGCTGCCGAGCAGTTCCACCTGCTGTTCCATTGGCTGAGGTTTATCACTCTATAAAATAAGGTCCTAAATGACATTAGGTGTTAAAGAAACTGGGGTCACACTGAGAGGCCATCACTGAAGTAGCTAAACTGTACTTAATGAAGTGACCTAGATCAGATGATATCAGAGTGGACCAGATTGGTGGGGTTCATCATGACAGTCACGACAACAGCAATCTTCTTGTTAATGTAAAGTTTTTAATAATTTTTGTTTGTTTTAAAGCAATTGTAGATACAATGTATATATGATAAACATGTTTCTATTATTATGACCACCAATTCTTAATTTTGGCCACTTTGTTCAATGGCTTAATAGCCAGTGCAAATTTTTCCATCTGTCAATCCCTGCTTGCCTCACTGGATGTGACCTGCCAATTTAAGAGTTGGTCATAATGAATGCTTCACACTGGATGACCATGACTGGTGCAATGTCATGTATGATTCATGACTTGCAGTTGATATGGACTATGAAGAGTAGTAATCTGTTGCAATAGGGGTACAACATATGGTCAGTATGGTTAATAATATATTAAACAGCAAAAACACTGCAATAGAAGTGACCGTCAGTATGTACACTTGCCTCTCTGTGGATGATTGAAACTGGAGAATGAATCATAATGTAATATTGTAGAATATATGTAATGTGTGAAATGTTTTGGAATTGTTCGGATTGGTCCACCTTATAACTTTTGACTAATGTGATGACTTTCAAAAGTTTGTGCTCTTACTGGACCGTTATCTTGACTTGACCTGAATTTGTACTTTAAATTGCAGACTGATAGTGGTTGTGGCCCAAAACAAGAAATGAGTGTGAAGTGCTTGACATGGGTGTATTTACTGACCACAGTGGACTCTAGACTAATCAAGAAATGCAGATGTTAATAACCAGCATACAGACTGTAATTTAGACAGTTAATTAGCAGTCTAGATTTCAACAAGCATGTTTATGGATTGGGGATGCTGCTTAGAGGCTACTTTGTTTGAAATTTGGTACTGAATGACGTTTTGATATTTGGTAGTAACGTGGTCAGTACCATAAATGTATTGTTCTTGGCTTGGACATGCAGCTCTAGGTGCAACCTTCCCAGGTGTGGAACTTTTACATTATGTGGAAGGTTCTTTAAGCTTTCAAAACATTGTTCATTCACACTGGTTCCTCCAAGGACCATCCATTGAGAGGTTCTTTCGGGAACCAAAAGAGCTTCTTCTATAGCATTGCTCCATAAAACTCTTGGGTGTACTGCACCCAAAGCCATATATTCTCTTCATTGAAAATCCTTTATTAAGGCTATGGACAAAAAAATCTCTCCACGCGTTTCAGCTTGAGTCTTCATCAGGGAGAGTCACATACTGCTTTCCGAATAACGGAATAACAGCTTTTAAATGATGTTTGTGTTGAGCAGCTTGCACTGAGTGAAGCGGCAGTGCAGGGTGTGGCTCACACTCATTTATATTAAATCAGATCAAAACAGCGGCAGCTTTATGTGGCACTTCTCTGTCCGCTACATTTATTCATGAGACGGCCGAAGAGATACACACGGCTAGGCAGCATTATGCAGATGTTCGGCTCTTTCTTCCGCGGGCCTGGCCGAAGCTTTTCCTTTGACTTTTTCGGAGACGAGGCGCTTATGTTACCCCCCCTTAGACTCCTGCGCCAATGCAGTCCATGGCTCTGCTCGAACGGCAGCGGCTGCTGTAAGGGGGTGCAGGCCACTGCAGTGAGAGTGGCTGGGAGGAAGGAGGAAGTGGAGTGTAGGGCTGTAAGTAGAGTATAATTGGAGAAACAAAGAGAGAAGGATGAGGAGAGGAGAGGAGTGGGGCTAATAAAGTGGCCAGTGGGAGAAAGTAGGGAAAGCGAGGGAGAGCCGAGGTGGAGTGCACTCACCAGGCAGAGAGTAATGTCTCTCTTACAGCACCGGGATTAGTGCACAGCGGTGAGGGAGAGGGGTTATTTTTCTAGTTTGGTGCACTGGAATATTTAGACAGATTAAACACGCTCGTCAGAGATCTTTAAAGTGGCTTTAGTATCTATGTAGTTCCATGATAAGTATGGGGTAGATTCAATGTAGTAATTGTCGCTGTCATAAGAAAACCTTACGACAAAATTGTACCTTTACAGCAGACGGGAAAAAGCCCTTTTAATAGGGACGCATCGTTATGAGAATTCTGGGATGACACTGATGATTCAGTATTTTCCATGTATGTGTCGGATGCCGATACATAAACGTTTTTAAAGATCATCTCCAGGATTAACAGTATGGAGAAATGTAATATTTATTTGTAGAGGGTCAGACGTGTCATGAAATAGAGAGATTTCATTGCAGTAGCCCTGCTTTTCTGGAGACCAATAATAAATCATCAAATATTGATTTGAATTATCGATCAAATCTCAACATCTGTGCAGTGCCAGTACCATTATGATTCTGATATGATTGGGCATCTCATGTTCTTAATCCTCCTGTAATCTTTCAATTTGCTAAGATCTTTTTTCCTTGGGATAAATTTGACCCCAGCAAATTAAACCTTTGGGAAACATCAAAGTTCTGGTGGGAATTATGTTTTCCTCTTCCCCACATTGTGTGAGCTATCAGTGGTTCTCGCACTACTACAGGTTCGGTAATGTTAGATTAGGGCCCTACGGCAGAGGAAAGTTCTTTGAAGATTACAAAATTGCTTGTTATAGTGGCCCCATCCTAAACAACCAAAACAAATGTGTGTAAAACATTGATATTTTGTATGTTTTATACAGCCAAAACAGCCTGGGGTTAAACTGACCCCAGTGAACACTGATGCGTACAAAATGTTTACAGGACACTGAAAACACATCATCATGTTAATTTTATGTTTACCCAGTTGTCCCCACTAAATTATGAAAAATGGTTAAATAAG